CCAATTGGTCAAACCTTCTTACAGTTAGGACCACAGTCAAAATCCCCTCTCGATTTCCCCAATGAACGAGAGGTCCACAAATCGAGCGATCAAACCTTCCTACAGTTAGGAGCGTCTTAAACCTTCCATTCGGTCAAACCTTTCTACAGTTAGGACCAAAACCAAAATCCTCTCTCGATTCTTCCAATGAACGAGAGGTCCACTTTCAAATCGAGTGATCAAACCTTCCTACAGTTAGGGTCATCTCAAACTCCTGCTGGGTCAAACCTTCCTACAGTTAGGACCAAAACCACAATTTACTCTCGATAAACGAGAAATTCATCTTTAGTTCGATAATCAAACCTTCTGACAGTTAGGGTTGTCTGAATCTTTGCGATTCTTGGAGTGGAGATCCCACCCTTAGTTTCACCTTTCCGGATTATGGGGGTGGAGATCCCACCTCGAGTCTCCTTTCCAACTGAAGATAGAATATAAGATTCTTCTTCTTCAGTATCGGGAGATAGAATATAAAATTCTTCCTCTCCCATCTCGGGTTTGTCTTTTCCCCAAGAGAAGACACCACCCTTTTCAACTCCCAAAATCTGTACTTCACAGGTATAGGAAGTTTATCCCGAATCCTAAGCAGGGATAAGTCTGCGCCTAACACGCGCTGCCGGTCTAGTCTTTTTCCGTATAAAAAGACACCAGAGCTCGATTCTGGGGTATTCTATCCCGAAACCTAAACAGGGATAAGTCTGCGCCTAATCCGCGTTGCCGGTTAGTTCTCAACCGTTAAAAAGAACACCCGTTCACATATTCAACATTGTGACAGGTTGTTATTAATAACACCAGAATCCATGTCTTACTCGCATGGGGAATTTCATCCTGAATCCTAAGAAAGGATATGTCGACATCTAACACATGTCGCCGGTTTAGTCTTTTACCGATTGAAAAGACACCAGAATACCAGTCTGGGGTATTTTATCCCGAAGCCTAAGTAGGGATAAAGTCAACATCTAATACGTGTTGCCGGGTAGCCTATTCCCGTAACAATGGCGAAGTAGAGGATTCAGTCTCTAAGCACAACGTTACATGCGGAACGGATTTAGACAATCCGCATGCTAGCCCGACTCAAACGGTAGTCGGTAAAGGCTAATCAAATCCGTTAAAGGCTTGGGGTTAGCCAAAAATCCTAAAGTCAACGCCTAACACGCGTCGCCGGGTAGTCTATTCCCGTGAGAAAGACGAAGTCTACGTATTCGAAGTCGTAGCATCAAGTCTAAGGGAGTTCATTCCTTTAGCACAACGTCACATGCGGAACGGACTTAAGACAATCCGCATGTAAGCCCGATTCAAACGGTAGTCGGTAAGAGCACGTCAAATCCGTTGAAGGCTGAGGATTTGCCAAAAATCCTAAGTCAACGTCTGATACACGTTGCTGTTTAGTCTTTTCACAGGAGAAAGACGAAGTCTACGTATTCAATATCGTAGCACTAAAAGGGTTAACTCTTTTAGCTTAACGTCACATGCGGAACGGACTTGAACAATCCGCATGCTAGCCCGACTCAAACGGTAGTCAGTAAAGGCTTCTCAAACCCGTTGATGGCTGAGGGTTTGCCAAAAATCCTATAAATACGGGGGTCACTGACGCATTAGCTTCATTAGTTGGTCTCGTGACCTGAGCATCCAACGACATTCGAAACCCTAGGGTCAACGCCAGTCAACGCGTTACGAGCAAAAATTCAACGTACGACGTTCAAAACCCTAAGGTCAACGCCGGACAACGCGTAACCCTAGGTCAACGCCTATCAATGCGTTGCAATGAAAGAACTAACACTCCGAAAAGTATACGAGTATAAACTGCTTCTTATCACTCCGAAGAGTATATGAGTATAAACTGCTTCTCAATCCTCCAACATGTGCATGAGGTTAAACTGCTTCTTAAGTACTCCAATAAGGTATATGAGTATAAACTGTTCCCTAATTTTTTTGAGAAGTTCCTGGAGAATGTTTGCTATAAATATTCTTAAGGATAACTCAACAATACGACGCCGGACAACGCGTAGCAGATAAAGACTCGACGCCAACAATCGATGGTCAGCTAAATCAGGAACCGACTTCAAAGTTCAAAATTCCGACAACGGTCAGACAATAAATGCAGCACCGAAACTCTTTCAGACATTCGACAAAGCACCGAATAGCCTGGAGAATTGAAGGAATCAAGAACGGAAGTCATTCCAAGGTCCCATTACACCGACTGAAGGTTGGGACAATCATATCCAAAGTATTCCAGACTCTTCTATAAAAGAACGAGACTGAAATACTTTGGAGGGGGTATCTGTAGGCATATAAAATTGCTTATAGGTCCCTTAGCTCAGCTCGGTATAAACCGACAAACCAACGAGGTAACGAGATTGACTAATCGCACGCAAGCAACGGAATACGTCCATTCGCGTGCGGAATCAAGCCAAGTGTTCGAAGAGTCAACGAGTCATCCAACCAAGGGCATACTCGGACGAATCACGATCGAATCAAGATCGGTTTCAGACTCAAATTCAGAAGTGGATTTACTGCCTAATCGGGATCCGGATTTACTGCCAAATCAGGTCAACGAATCAAGTCTGGATAAATCAACCACAAAATCGAATCCGAACCTATCAACCGCAGAACCGGAAAACGGGCACAAAGAGGCAAAACGACAAACACCTGGAGGTCGGCTCACCGAGCCACCAAGGAGGCTCATCATTTTGAGGGGTTGGAAATTTTGGAGGCGAAGCTCTGTCGGATTCAAGACTCGAAACTTAGAAAAGATTGGAGCTTTGGGACTTCGGGGACTCACTCTTCCAGATCTGGTGCTCAGCGATCGTCAACGCCAAAAAAGGCAGGTGTTCAAGAGGACCGGATCTCAGATCTACGCAGACGTACTCCGGATCTAAGCTTGGTCTTAGATCCCGAGACTTGGACGATTGTTTCCTTGGTGAATCAATCCTCCCCGACTATTATTTCCTTTGTGGAATAATACCCGTCGTACTGCTCAGATCTGATTGGATCTAGATCTCGCGGTGGTCCACGGATAAACCCCGGCGCAGGCAAAGAACCCACACAAAACAAGAGACCGCAAAACAGGATCTTGCGATTCGTTCGACAAAAGGAGAAAGTTGTAATTTTCTTTATTTCTTGTGTTATTTGATTTTCGTTGTAACCGGATCTAAAAAAGACCGGATCTTTGTAATCGATAAACTATTACAAGAATTTGCAATGGAATCAATGATGAAGAAAGACACGATTTTCACCGCGAACAAGCGACGGGCGAGCGGGCTGCGGCGGCTTAAATGAAAAAAAGAATCTTAAAACACCTTTTTTTTTGTTTTGAGAAAAATGTTTAATTTTTAGATTTTGTAAAGGAACAAGTCAAAAAAACGCCCCAGTTGCCAAACACGTTTTTTTGTTTTTGTTGAAAAAAAAACAGAAACGGCATAAACGTCACGGTTGCCAAACGCTCCCGTACATGATTAAGGATTACATTCCTTATAAAAAAGTAATTCAATATTTTTAATGGAAAAAAGTCTCCTAGTACGTACATCAATGAGGAGGAGTGGACTGTTTATGCATTTCTTGTGAATTTTTGAAAAAAATGAGGTTGCAACAAAAGGATTATTTGGAGTTTACTATCCTACAGTTAATTTATTTTTTAATCATCGTAGTACAATTTCTAATTCGTTTGCTGTATATAGAGATCATGCTGAGCTTTTTGATGCTATTTCTCAAATAAATCTAAAATTCAAGAAATATTTTGAAGAGATGCCTAACTTATTTTATCTATTTGCAATGATAGATCCTAGAGTTAAAGTTACTAATCTAAAGTATTTGATGACCATTTTTTCAAATAATACGCAATACGATCATGATGTTGATGCAAAATTCTTTTAGATTAACAAGGTGTTAGAGACAATGTATTTATTATATATATATAGGTCTACATTATCACCTCATTCAGTGGGTGCTCGGATGGTACCGCCACCAATTTTTCAAGCACATGTGGTGGAAATTTGAGAAGTCGAATGACTGCAAATACCGAAATGAGAAATTCATCTGGGGGACAGTGGATTTAATGAACTTAATTTATAGTTGAAAAATGACTTAATGACCCAAAATATGGGACCAAGGGAGGGGACAAGTGAGGTGTCCCCTTCTTATTGCATAATGAGTTGGTCATGCCAACTCATTATGCAATAGGGAGGAGACACCTCACCTGTCCCCTCCATTGGTCCCATATTTTGGGTCCCGTAGCAGCACTCAGATGGTTGTATGCTCGACAGACTGGTTTGACGTGGAAAGTGGAAGAAAGGAATATCTTTCTTCTAAGAATAGTTTGAAGAAGATAATCCCGATTAGCGAGGAACTAAGTTCAACATTTGCACAACACAATTGACGACGAAGACGCAAAATTATTGAAGATATCTAGTCTATCACAATTATTTTTAGAAAATATTTCAAAACTATCTATAATAAAATTTCTTTTTTTGCTCCATTAATGTATTTCAAATGATTATGTAAACCTGCTATTATTTTACGAAATGAAAATTTTCTTCCATTTATTTCTCCTCATCTCTTGTAATTGGTACGCTTGTATTTCATTATTATAAAGTATAAATTAATATTATCATAAAAAAAATAATTGTTTGGGAAAAAAATTGAAGAACAAAAAAAAATGGAAAGTAAAAAATGTAAAAAAGGACAAAAAGTTCCTAAAATTCATTTAGTCTCATCTCCGTCGCATCACGAGTTGGGTTTAAAGCCCAACTCGTAACCAAGTAATTCGACTCGCCTCGTACGAATTCAGAACGAGACAAATCTGATTCGTCTCCGTCTGGTTTTGGATCTCGAGCTTAAATCAGGAGGGAGTATAATTTATACGGACGTGATAGATATTAGATATTAGATTTTTTTTTTTCCGGCGGAAACAAACGCACACGAACGGTGTATAAGTGCAAAATGGGAGAAAGTATAGAGTACTTAACTGCAATTAAGCCTAAATCTTCTCGGCACTAGGCACGAATCGGGTCCAAAATGCTTCCTACTACAGTCAGCCAAACTTCCATAAGAGGGGGCCCCGCTCCCTCTCCCTCTCGAAGCACTCTCACAAGATTTTAATGGCGGACCCCGGCGATTCCTCACCTCTGATCGCCCCCGTTCCGGTCGCCGAGCCCTGTTCCAGCGAGATCGATCTCGAAGCTGGCCCCAACGACGACCAGTTACAGTGCCGGATCTGCCTTGAAACCGATGGTAATTTCTTGTCCTTGTATTTTCCCAAGTTCTAGGGTTTTGACTGTTAAATCACCCAGTTCTTTGAGAAAAGTGGAAAGTTTGGACGGATTCTGTTGTTTATTGGAAACTAGTTAGGAGGTTATGGGGAAATTAGGGTTTGGGGGTGCTGTTATCTGGAATTGGACGGTTTTAGAAGTTAGCGCCTTAAATTTTCACTTTTAGACTGTAGAAGAGTTGAACTTCAAATGTCTTTAGTGCGAAACTTGAGATTTTCTAATCAATAAAAAAAATTATAACCTAAAGAAGTGTTGCACTTGTTTTGAAAATAATGAGAAACTGCGGAAGTTTGGTTCCGAATTCTACACAAAATTGGTTTCATGATGAACACTCTAATGTACACCAAGTAAGATATGGGAGCCCAGGAAATTAAATTGCTTTTTTTCTTAGTTACGGTTGTACTTTAGAGAAGAGCATTAGGTCAAGATGTTCTTGTAAAATGATGTCTATATTCGCTCTTAATATTTCAGGAAGGGATTTCATAGCTCCATGCAAATGCAAAGGAACCTCCAAGTATGTTCACCGTGAATGCCTTGATCATTGGCGAGCTATAAAGGTAAATGACCAGATGCTTTTCATATAAATGTGTAAATTCAGGAATCATATGTTGAATTCTCTTCTTGATATCCTCGTAAACTAACAGCTTGACAAAGAAAACTGAAAGAAGTGGTACAGGTTCAGCCTCACTCCTTTTATCTTAAAAATCTTCAAGACAAAATCTGTGAAAATTTTCTGCGGAGGTTTCTTTTTTGTAATTAAGGGCCTCTCATTTTTCATTATAAGGACATAATGACATAACCCTCTCCATTTTAGCAGAAAAACACCAGTAACCCCATTATGCTTTAAAAAAAAAAAACCAAATACACCTCCCATGTTATCATATCATTTTGGACGAAAATGCCCATCATAACATTATTTTCCTATGATAATCAAATAAAATTGTTATTAATGCCAATTCATCTTAAACCAATCCATTTCCAAATTCTCATGCTAATCTGATCTAGATGTAAATGTGCCTCAAAATTTATATGGAGTTGTACCAACTCCTTTATCTCCTTTACTGATATATGTTTCCCTCCATCTTCTAATACTAAATTCCTCACTGAACTCGTTAGTTCACAGTTATGTCATTTTCCAATTTAGAGATTGTCTCTAACCTTGAGTTAAAAAGTTTGATTATTCTTTCCTCATAAATTTGGACACGATAATGGAAAAACATTAAGGCCCAATTTGGGTCAAAAGGGTTATTATTAGGTGATGAAATATCAGAAGGATGACAATGTGGCAAAGAAAATTAAGTGACAGGTGTAAACCCCTTTCTAGAGTCTCTGCAGTTCTGCACATTTAGATTGGTTACATGTCACTAAGCCCATATCAATTCGCGGACATAAACGTCGTTATATGTCCTTAAAAAACTGTTGGGGATGGTGGTGGTGGGGGAGTTTACTAATGATTTGTAAGGTTGAGGGGGTTCTATGATTACGGTGTGAAATTGAGAGGGGTCTCGAGAATTCTTTTGAAGAATTGATTGAATAACTTTGAGCTATCCTCTGATAGTTGTGATCGGAAGTATGTTTGATGCATGCGGTTGTTCCTGACTTTGCTCTGATCTTCTATTATTGATAGGGCACATAATTAAAGAAGTTTCTGATTGTTGAGTGTCCTTGGGCACATTAGACGTGCTTTCTTCCTATACACGCACGCAGAGATCTTTCATTTATTTATTTTTTGGGAAAAAAGTAAGAGTGGATGTGCAAACTTATGGCTACTTTGTAATTTCAGATCTCGTCTACAGTAACACTGCAGTTCACATGTATAATATTTATCGCTTGGTTCCATTTCTAGTCGCTGTATCTAATTTTTAAAGTGAAGGTTAACAAATGCAAGCCCTTCAATCAAATGGTATCCCTTTGCATGAGCAAGGTTACCAGTTGTTCTTTAATGTTATTAATTTGTAAACAAATTTAGATATCTAGTCAACTTATTAGTCCACCTTTATGCGGGAAAAGCTTTTTGAGGACCCAGTACATAATGAATTGGCGGATCATTTTACCTATTCCTACATCTAGTTAGAGGACTCCCTTTTTTTCCGTTAAAAGATAGATTGAACATTTTCCTTTCTAGCAACATAGGTAAAAGCCTCAGAAGGTGAAATCATCATCAACAGATTAGCAAGAATTTGCTTATCAGTTTGCTTGGAGGGTTTGGTTGTAAACCTCATCCTTGAAAAGACTACAAGGTAGAGAATGTCTTTTGATACATCAGAAGAACAAATAAATTTCCAGTTTGGTTTTGATGTGTCTTATAACCATCCATCATGTGCAAATTCACTTATGGAGAGTGAAGTTTTAATTAGTACTTCGGCTATTTGCAAACGTATGGTGTGTTTAAATTTCTCTTACTGATGGTTCAAATTCTTAGGGGTCTGATAGCCATACTATCATTTATACAATTATTTCTGGACATGAAAGACTTTATTTCAACTGACTTGTGACTTTTAGGCTATTTACATGAAGTTATGGATTATTTTGTGTTTGGACTCAAAATTGGGGAGCATTCTGTTACTATACCTAGTTGTAAAGTGTATGAAGATCATAAGTAATGAAGCATCAGAAGGAACATTGAGTGGAATAACAGTAAATTAGAACATAATGAGAATTTGATTATGATAAAAGACTTCTGGATTCTAGAAGCTATAATGTGCTTAGTTAAGCAAGCCGTGTGGTGTACTTGGTGTGGTCTACTCTACTAGCAATCATTTTGTTTTGAACCCTTAGCACATTTTTAACCATGTTTTGCTCACATGTTGACTAGTGAAGGGTGAAAACAATCTTGTAATATACCTTCCACAGATGAGCAAGAATTTAAAGTGACTTCTAAAAAAATCATACCACCACACAAGTCCAGATTCCGGCCCATAAAAGGGCACTTTACCTGCTAGGTGCATGTTAAAGTATATAGTCAACTCTCATAGGGTTTTGGTGTAGTGGGAAGGGTCATTTGACAAGTGTGAAATTTTTTGGTTGGGTTTTCATGCTCGAGTGTGGTAGTCCATGCCAAGTAACCTTTTCACTTTTCTGTCATATTTAACAAGTGTCAGGTGCTGTAAGTGTCTTGGGACTCGGAGACATGACCATAGTATCAATAATCGCATGAAAACATGTGAAAAATCCGAAACATGTGATAGTCATATTATATATAATTTGTGGCTAACTACAGATATATGCATTTAATTTATGGTAGTACCAACTCTTTCTCCTTAATTTTATCTACATAATCATTAGAAGCCATAGAATATGGCGATTAATCTGATATATTGGCTGATTGCCATGTATTTGCTTGTTTAATCTCCGTTTTGAAGGGTTAGTGAGCTTTATCGGTAGTTGGTTAGAACTATTAAATCAGTTGTTTATTTAATTCATTTATTCAAGCTATTCTGTCTCTTTGGTTTATGCTTTCCTTGAACCAAGTATTAGATTGCTAAATTTTAGTTGCTAAAATGTTTAGTATCTTTGACCACAACCCCAACTTGACCAACTCTCACCCTCCCTACCTCCCCCGAAATGCCCTCATCTACCCTCATAGCCAGCCAGCCATGTTCCATGCATCCTTAACTTATACACACCCTAATAAAGATTAAAAAGCCCACCATTTCTAAAGAAAAAAAATCCCTCCCTCGCTCCCTGGCAGATACATTTGCAGACACTGGGGTTTTGGGCCTCCGCTTGGAATTGTGACTATTTTGCCATAGATATATTCTCGTGCTGTTTATGCCTCTTCTCTTTACGTATATTCCATCGTTCATATGCCTGGTCCTTGTTTTTAATTGTCATCTGTGTATCTCCTATATTATTTCTGCTACAATCTTTGTTACTTTATGTTGTATGCGTTTATCTAGGTTGGCATTGTTGTAATCCTCCTGTCCTCTATTCTCTAGGAAGGATTTGCATTTGCTCATTGCACAACCTGCAAAGCTCCTTACTACTTGAGGGTTCACGTTCATGCTGACAGGAAATGGAGAACATTGAAGTTTCGTTTTTTTGTGACTCGAGATATATTGTTCATCTTCGCGATCGTTCAACTTGTAAGTTTTTTAATAAGGTCTATTGAGTTTACTCTTGAGTGTTGAGTCTGTTCCGTCTGATTTTCCATCATCATGTCTTGCACATGCCCAGGTAATTTCTTCCCTTGCCTATCTGGTGTATTTATTTGATGGCCATCAACAACATGGGCTGCGGCTCGCATGGGGCTTTGACAGTGGAGTTAGTTTCTACTATATCTGTGGTAAACCTCTGAACTAGTAAAATATGTTTATGTATTTTTAAAAAATATGTTTTGTTTACATGCACCACTTTGTGATCATTTTTTAGGGGTAACATGGTTTACTGACATGATATATCATATGTAACTGGCGCCCATGATATTGGGAGAAAGTGCTTTACTTGAATGATTTATCTTTATCTTGCATTACTTAAATGCCTTTAAAGCATTGTAGTTGCTCGCTCATAATCATCGACTTAGATTTGTTGTATTTTGCAGCACATAATGTCAGTAACTACTTCCCTTTCATTTATAGAGTTTATTGTCTTCTCTTTTGCATTTTTGCTCGACTAATTTTCGAGGTTCATCATTCTGTTTATTATTTAAGATATATTCTATAATTATTTGGAAATGGCTTCTGATATTTCTCTTTGATTCATTTCTGAGCACTCTTGCATTCTCTTAGAGGTCAATATCTCGCTTGCAAAGGACCACACTCCATCTTCAGATCTTCTGGCCAAGTCTTTTTATGGTTTTGCATTTATGTACAATCAGACATATGCTTTCAGGTGTGATATTCTGTGTTTGCTGCAACAAAAAATTAAATAAGGAATGACTGTAGTCTGCTAACATTTAGTAGCATTGGTGATCTGCTGTATAAAATAATAAATCATGTAGTGGCTATTGCATTTTGAAACATTATAGAAAAACTTTAGAAGTAGTTCTTACAATGATCATGTGCTAATGATCAAATTAGCGGCTGTTTGGATGCAAAAATGGGGCCGTAGAAATCTGACAAAATCAGATATCTCCGTTTTTTGTTGTTGTTGTTGTTGTTGTTGTTTTCGGGTTTTGTTTGGTGTGAGGGAAAGTTGGATGCAAGGTCCACTTTTCACTCTCTTTAAAATCCTTCTGAGAGGAGAGGAATCCGGACAAAGTATTTTGCTGATTTGGCAGAATATTCAACTTCTCCTAACAAACTTTATCTTAAAACAAACAAGATAGTTTGACACAGTAATTTGGTTCCGACAAAAGTATTAGTATGAGATCCACTTTTTCCTTTGAATCCTAAGTATCCATAGAAATAAGCAGACCCTCAGACATTAACTAATAGGAGCGATGGAGGAACTTCTCATAGAATGTTAGATTACTTAAGATTCATAATATCTATAATTGAAAAAAAGGAAAACAGTAAGAATAGGTGCCTATAACTGGAAAGAAATTTAGAAAAGAATATCTTTGGCTACCTTCACTTTTGTAGCAATGAGGAAATTTGTTCTTGAACTTTATCTGTAGGAGTATATTGTGTTTGAATGGTGGCAAACTCATGTAAGGTGACAGAGCTAGGAAGCGTAACCGAAGGGGGTTATAGATGATAGGTTTTCAATATTTTGAGGAGGCAACTGCAAATTACATAATCAGAGTTGAAACACTTGAACTGATGCAGAAGACTAATGTCGGGCATATGCCGAATCACCAATGCCTAAAAGTGGAAGTTGGAGATGTTACAATAGGTATTTGACCATAGAAGCTGGAAAAAATAGGAGCCTTCATAAGCATCTGAGTCAGGATAGCAATTTAGATGTGTTGAAGGAGGCCCATGAAGAAATTTTGGTCTGAAACTACTTAGAAGAAGGATGCAACACAATTTGGAGGTGTCATTGGTTTTTGGTCCTCCTAGCTTTGACTATAAGCATGCTTGAAGTAAGAGGCACATTCTTGATCCAAGTCCTAGCTCCCATTCGTCCAGGATTGAAGTATAGGCATGTAAATTGAGGGGTCAATTTCCGGTTGACAGCTTGCTACAGCTTAATAATTTCATCGAGCCTCCTAATATGGGTATTGCTATATACTGGGTTGAACTTGTCATAAGGTCACCATGATAGGAAGAGTTATATAATTGTACTGGTTTTATTCACTTCCATAAAGGATGAAGTGAATGACTAAGGTTGTAGGTAACACATGCATTTACTAGAGAAATGTGGATGTGGACTGAATATATTCCCTATAATAACTATTAATTAGTTTGAATTGTTGGCATATGGTTAATCCATAAGATAAATTGCCATAAATTATTCATGGAGAAGCTGAGGAAGTTCGAGGCAAAGTCGAGATAGAGCTAGTGGAGCATATTCAATGCAGCCTACAAGTTTGATGTTCTGGAATAAATTCAAAGTTCAAAGTATGATGCTTGGGAAATATTCAGGAAATTCAGAATCATCTGCAATAAATGCATCTTGCCAGTTAAAGGAAGATGTAGATCCCTACTCTTGTAATGTAGAAGCTAAGGGTGCTCAAGGCAAAGTCGAGATAGCTGAAGAAGTTGGAGCTAGTGGAGCATATTCAATGCAGCCTACAAGTTTGATGTTCTGGAGTAATTTCAAAGTTCAGAAGTATGGTGCTTGGGAAGTATTCAGGAAATTCAGAAGTCATCATGCAATAAATGTATCTTGCCAGTGAAAGGAAGATGTAGACCCCTACTCTTGTAATCTAGAAATCCAAGGTTTCATGAAATATTGAGGGCAAGGTAATGAAGGGCTACTACACAAGAACATTCTACCATAATTTTATTGAGCCCTCTTATACTTGTAGGTTTCAACCATAAAACTTCAGTTTACAGTTAGAAGTTCACATTTAATTGGTACATTTATGCATTTTTTCTGAATAAATTGCAAAATATTCAGATTATTCATGCATAGCCGAGGATAACATAAATCTATTCATTTCTTGCTATGTTCATGAATAATTTGCTAATTGTTTGGAAATGCTACAACATCTGGCAGCATTTCTCTCGTGCAGTTGCCACATTGTTCCATAAGTAATTGATCTTATAGGAGTGGCAAATGAAAGTCTGCAAAGGTTCCATCCTCTTGCATATATGGAAAAGAGTGCTTTAAACCTAAATTAAGCTTGTTAACTTCACTAGGTTCTTCCTTGAATTTGTAACTTGTAAGTTCTAAGTTATTCAAAATTTTGAATGTCTTTGCATTCTGTTGACAGGTTCCTTGTGTCTGAAATACATGAAAAAGTCAATGGGTGCAATTAGGCCTTGCTTTTGTTAAAGTTGTTTCTTTATTTGCAAGATTAAAAGATAAATAATCTAGCTTATTATTATTTTCTAAAGTAGAGTTGAAGAAATATGATTTGTTTAGCTTTTTAAGAACTTATGAGTTCATATTTTCTTTTTCAGTCTCTTTTAGAGATGAATTATAAGTTTCTAGCCCCTTGTTTTTGTACCCTCCTCATATGGGGGTATCTTTTGTTTGTAATTAATACTTAAGAGGCAAGTTTTGTTAGTTTTGCTCTCTGAACTTTCTTTTTCGATAGTTCTTCTATCATGTGGGCTTCTGATCTTCTTTCTGTTGTCATTATGTCTTTGGTTTGCATGTTCGTCTGCTATGTCACCTTACAGTCCTGTCTGGAGAATCTTCATATTATTTCATGAAAATTTTAAAATCATATGCTTAATGAACAAACTCAGCTTCTTGCTGCGGTAAAGAAAGAATGAATTCTCCTTAAAGAACCACCATCTATCCCCAAACACCATCCATCACATAAACCGTCACAATAGACGGTTGAACAAACTCAGTTCTTGATGCTCTAAGAAAAGAATGAATCTTATTAAAGAAGAGCCAATGAATCTTATGAAAGAAGAGCCACCATCTGCTCCGGACACTGCTTATTCAATTCATTTGATGGTCCCAACAGCATATCAACTCCATCTGTATCACTTACTCCAGTCGAGTAAAAGAACCAATGCTATCATCTCTTCTGCCTAGCATATAGATCTGCCTTCCAATAGTTTAGTAGTCCCTGCACATTCATTATCATGTGGTTTGCGTAAAAAGGGTCTTGGTGTATACTTTCATTTGTATCTTAAAGCGTGCATTTGGTCAGTTTCACTTTCGTCTATGCATAATTGCTGTTGGCAACTGTAGGGGCACTTCTGTTCTTTTCCTTGCTTGGGTTATCAGGATGCGTCATTACTTGTTACGATCGACGAGTACGCAGTGATTTGGCTCAGCCGTGTCGAGAATTATGTCTTTGTTGTTGTCAACCAGGGTAAGTTTTTTGCTCGAGACTAGAAATAGTGTGCATGTGAACTCTAAAATCTCACCGTTGCAAGACCACTAGAGTTTTTTGGTGCTGTTCAGTACCATCTTATCTACTTTTTTTTCCAGGATGTGTGCAGATTGTCATCTTCCTGGTACACTTTGTATGTGGACTGATTGCACCACATGCTTTGAAAGCTGTGCAAGCACCGCAGGCGAATGTGGTTGCCTAAGTGGAGCAGGGGAAGCTGGGTTACCATTACTGCTTATTATGGGATTGGTTGTCCTTGGTCTCTTCACCATAATTGGCATATTCTACAGTGTACTTGTGGCCACAATGGTTGGGCAGCGGATCTGGCAGCGACATTATCACATACTTGCTAAACGAATGCTTACAAAAGTGAGTCTCTTTTACCTGAATTGTTTGCTTTCTTTTGGCAATAAACAGTGAACCAACAGGACTATCAATCAATAATATGTATGTCTCAATTTGGTATTAGCTCAATAGCCTTTGCCGGTAGTCAACATGACCCGTATCATATGAATTTATTTTGTTGCTTTTGACCTTGAAAGGACCTAGCTCACTCATGTCTCGTTCAGTCATCATGAGAGTCCTTTAAAATGCATTGAATGCTTAAGGAGGCTATCCAGACAAAATAATGTATATTAGAGTGTATATCTGATATACAAGATTGCATAGGAAAAGGCTCTATGAGGTTAAGTTGAAGTGGCTTGAACAATTCTTAATGGAGCAAGGCACCTTAGAATCTGCACTTGGTGACGTGAGGTTCACTTGGTGAATAATCTATTTTGTAAAATTGGAGAGAATCTGAGCACATGATATTTGGATTAACAATCAGATATTAATATTATGTGGGGCCACCAAGTTGTTCTATTGTCTCATCTATATGTTCTAGCTATATGAAACAATTGCTGATGGTTGCAACGAGAATTTGTTTTGTGTATGCACATAGTGGTGGTCTTTGTGTGTGTATTGCATGTGTATTATGTGCGCGCGTGCACGCGCAGTGGTGGGTGGAGGAAATAGGGTCTAGCTATATGAAACCATTGCTGATGGTTGCAACGAGAATTTGTTTTGTGTATGCACATAGTGGTGGTCTTTGTGTGTGTATTGCATGTGTATGCGCGTGCGTGCACGCGCAGTGGTGGGCGGAGGAAATAGGGGAGGTCAGTAAGTAATCAGGAATATAAAAAGCACTTGCATATTTATTGTCTATTAGAGATGTAAATTATTAACCAATCCTCTCCTAGACTCCTGTTCACCCTACCAAAGGGATAAGGTGAGTTTCTAACATCAATCGACACTCAAAATGTCATCAGAAGGTTTTTTATTAACTAGGAATGTTATTTGATTGATGTTTTGATGAACCTTTATATTTAAGAGCATAAGCAGGTTTTGTAGATGAGGTCACTAAGTAATCGGGAATATAAAAATTACTTGTGTACATGTTCTCTATTAGAGATGTAAATTATTAACCAATCCTCTCCTAGATTCCTGCACACTAACCAAAGGGGGAAGATGAGTTTCTAGTATCAATTGACACTCTTAAAATATTAGCTAAAGTTGTTTGATTATCTAGGAATGATATGTGATTGACGTTATGATGAACCTTTATATTTAAGAGCATAAGCAGATTTATTGTACATGACCCTTGTCTCCTTACCTATTAACTTTTGTTGTTTACATAAATTCATCCCCTTATTAATTAAATATTTGAGGAATCTAAAATATATGCCCTTGAACACAAAGATAATATCCATTCTGTAAGTCCATTTATGTAATTTACGCTACTCCTGCAATCTGTCATTGGCTGCCGAGTCTCCATCTTCACTGACGCCCCAAACCGTGAGTTGGCAAACATTTATGTATAACCCTCTATGACCCTTGTGCATTCAAGCATATTCCCTTCAAGCAAATATAATAATATTAAAATTACCACTCTAACGTATTGGTCAAGTATAGGTAGTTCTAGATATGTCATCAAACTGATAACTTAAATTTTGTATAAACCTGGAGTTATTTGACTTACAAATGACAATGCAAGTTCATTGGATAATGCCCAATCTTCTTAAAGCTATCAAACAATTCCCCAGTTTCACCATTTACAATTTTTTCCCTGAATTAAATTGCACCCTAGTTTTCTTCTCTTGAGAAGCACTGTAACTTGATGAACCAGTGGATGATCTGGAGAGAGCTTTCATGGCCTTCTGCAAAGAAATTGGGGAAGGGGAGAGATTGATTGCTAGTTAAAATAAAAATAAAAATGAATGATACAATTTAATAAAAAGAAGGGTAGGTAAAGTAGTAATTATCACAAGAAATTGGGTGAAAATAGTCCTAAATGTTGACATGTGACAATTACATGGGAATACTCCCTGGAATATTCTCACTTCAAAGTTCAAACTAACAGAAGGTACCAGATCTGGGCATCTTAGGGTATTTGAGTGCTACATTTTACGACTTAAGAGTATTTGCAACAATAGGGTATTGAAGTGCCATTTAGCCATGTGAATTCAGTGAGCGTATATGATGGTCAAAAAGTAAAAAAAAAAAAAAATCATCGAGAAGTATATCTGCTAAAATGAAACCACAAGGATACTAGGTTTAATACATTGATACTATTGGGGTCCTATGTGCGATAAGTGCTATCTTTTAGACTACATAATCTCTTTTCTTTATGTTATCAGTTGCTCCCAAGCCAGAATTTTTTTTGAGGGTGGTGGTGGTGGTGGGGGGGGGGGGGGGGNGATCATACATCAACCAAAATTGATCAAGTATGGCAATATTTAATAAAGTTTCAATATGTAACTAGGTGAAAGAAGAATCTAATTAAAAAAATTTACAAAATTATTTTTGTTAATGCTTAAATCATTTTAGCATATGCACCCATCGTGACAAATGAATCAACATGCTTCAATTTTCTGAAGTTTCATATTAAAAATGTGACAAATGAAAGAATCCCCAATTCACAATTCCATCACAAATTGTAAAGCCACGTGAAAATATAAACCCATTTCAGAGCTCTAATGTTAAATAAATACATGCATCTCCCTATTTTACTTGCAATGCAAAGGAAATTACATGAAAATATGATGTGTAAATGTATAGAGTTTTCCATATTAACCCTTCATATCTTTAAAGTAATTTGAAAGTATTCCCTCCAATAGAAGCTTGTCAAAATTGAGGGAATACATCATATTTAATATTTTTGGGTGTGATGCAGTTATACCCATACAAATTCCAAAATAAACTTTGCTAGAGCACGAATTGGAAAAGATTATGTGAAAATAGAGCTAAATTCATTAATTATGAACTTGATTTGGTTGATTTTCATATTTATTTTGGTTGATTTGGTAATTCAATAATTACCCTTCCTTCATTAACCACCCACCTGTTGTTAACAATTTCGGTATTAAATGTAAAATGTAACAAGGGGATTTTCAAACACTTCAAAGATTTTCAAAATATAAATGATTGGGAGGCTACTCTAAATATGAAAGATTTGGGAACTGCTTTAAGTGTGATAGTCAGATCTGAGGGACTAAATGTAAGTAGTCCTATATTGTGTATATGTATGTCTGTAAAAAGCCGGGTCCTTTCCCCCCCCCACCCCCCACCCCCACCCGGGCTCCATCCATTGGTTAATCCTGTTGATTTGTTCAATACCTTAACTTACTATGATCTCTGATTCTTTGATCAGGAGTATGTTGTGGAGGATGTCGATGATGAGATGATGGGCGGAAATTGGAGCCCACCCCCCCTTCCTCCGGAGCATGTCCAACAGCTAAAGTCACTTGGACTTCTATAATTCTAATTCTCAAGGGCATCTTACATAGAGCTGAGCACCCATCTTTTGGATGGAGAATTTGGTTTCTTATTGTGAAGGCAAAGGTGGATATTTTCTTATAGCTTTTTACTGTATTCTTAAATGCTTTCAGTCTGTTTATATGTGATCATAATGTACCCGGATTCCTTTATTGTGATACCGATCTCATTCCGATACAATTTTATATTTGGAATAGTGGATATTTAGGAGCTTCGAAATGGCTTGCATGATATTGTGATAATAAACCCCCCTAGAAAGGAACGGGAATAGGGATGCCAGTTGTATTTGGAAAAATGTTCGGCTTGATTGTCATGTGACCGGTTTAGTGCCTTGCTATTTGTTAAGCTTTTTTTAGCTATTCAAGAGGGTGAAAAGGCTGCAATGTATTTGGTAACAGAATGTCACCAGGTTAGACGACATTCTATAAGATTGGATGATTTATGCCTGTGCTGTCCAGGTTACTCCTGTGGAACTCCAAACAAATCCGCGAAAGTGATCCCAGCGAATGTTTTATACGCAATTTTCATTACGAAACCAGGAAAGTGATCTGAGAAAAATCTTGCACGCAATTCTCATTTGTGTAATGTGTAATATTACGCCTTGGAATGGCATCACTGTTCTACAGATCTAAGGGCCATGCTGGTATCGCGGGAGCTTACAATAAGTTGCTTACTTATAGAAGCAACTTATACAAGTTGCTAAAAATAGCCGTTTAGTAATCAAATACAAAAAACCGCGTAAAAAGTAGTTAAAATGTTAGGTAGAACCGTGCTTAATGATCATTGTTATAAGATAAAAGATAAACATAGTGTGTAAACTAAAAAAAGGCAAAAGCTGTTGTTAAAAGCATCTCATATTGTTTCTAAAAGTGTCCCCTTAAAATCAAAAGCAGTTTTAATAAACATATCAAATCACCAAACAACATTATTTGCTTACAATACCAAATCGGCCCCAAGTCCAGTAAGGATTTGTTTTCCTTCACGAAAAATGCTAGTCAAATTCTATTATTTTTTCCTGTGGCATCACATATGGGCGCAGGAGAGAAAGGAATGGGAAGAGGAAGAGACGTGTCACTTGGTAAACTGCCTACAGAAACCCTACCTTGCAGCCTACGGCGAACAAGAATCATATATAGAATGAGGGGATAAAAAAGCAGTCCTCAAAAGAACATATATTGTTTGAGTTGAAATTTTTTTACGAACATAGTCTACTACTTTGAACCTCAAACAATAATTCAGAGTGACCAGAAGCAGGAAGAAACTTCCTACCCGTTTCATTACAAAACTTACACAACTTGTGAAAACTCGAGAAGCAAAATAAAGATTCAAAGACAAGCTCCACAACGATGGAGAAAATAAAACTTTACTTTTATACTATATTATAACCACTACATGTAGCTGTACAGGCCAATATAGCTTTCTTTTCACCCTCTCTATGAATACATCCTGTATAAAATGAACCGGTGGGAAAAACACACTTGCTATTTACATTAAACAAAGGGAAATAAATAACAAAGCAGTCCTCATTGGAGAAACTGTAGCTAGAGAAGAAAACTACTTTCTTGTAGCATCAACAAACATTGCCCTTGTCCAGTGTTCAACATTTTCTATCTGCGATGGTGGCGGCGGAAGAGTTGGGTGCTCCACCAAATCCCATCCATCTACAAGGTTCTCTGATTTTCTCTGATCAATCATCATCTCAGCAGAGGAAAGAAAGCTAGCCTCTGAGTTCAAGATGGCATTCTGAGCATTCGGCTGATGATTGATTACAGAAAGCAGAAGAGATTAGGCATAAATGTAAAAATGTAATTATCATAGATAAAATGGTTAACTGCCGATAGACCCCTATGGATAGTTGTTTTTAACTTGCTACCCCTCTAGTTTTGTTGTTGTAGATAGACCCCCTGAGTGAAATTCTTTTAACCCTTTACCATCAGATAAAAAGAAATTTGTGTCTTTGACAATAGACCCCCCGAGGGTAAAAGAGTCAAAAAAAATCCACTCAGGGTACATGTGCAACAATAAGACTAGAGGATAAGTTCAAAACAACAGTACTGCAGGGGTTAATATCCACAATTTACCCTATATAAAAAAAGATGAAGACATCTTAAGACCTTCATTTTACCATGATATTTGTATGACTGCTCTCTTCTAGGCTACTAGATGATGATGCCGAATTTACACTCCAAAATGATTTGTTCAGCCTGTATGCTTGGCTGTCATTTCTGCAAACAGGAGCAGATTGTTTCAATTCGCAGAATAAGACCGAGAATTCAGTTACCCATAAAGTGCAACTATAGCTGTTTCATAATGACTTTCATGCAACATGAAACTAGGAATATTCAATTGGAATTCTATAATTAGAATGCCGACTTCTGAAATTCTAAAGAGGAAGGGAAACATGCTGATCTAAATAGGCATTTAGACCCTCTAGAATCTATATCTATTATAGCAAAAAAAAATCTGCTGTATATTTTAAAAGTACGTGCGCATTCCACATCCAGAAATTCTAATAATACTGGAAAAGTTAACTAGGAATTTTTGACAATCAAAGAATATTGCTGTTGCATAAATAAATGCCAAAACACTGAAACAATGTGTTCGTGAAATAAAGATCCAATGTTGATGAATTTAGTTATGCATCAAAATATGAGTTCTCTGTACAAAAATTGAGGGAAATTATTCTTCATTTCTCACATAAATTTTTTGCATCTTTTCGGCTAGGTCTCTGTGAGATATAAGATAAATCCACAATAGTACCACAAATTCGCAGAGCAGATCTTATAGGGCACAGATCAACATATTAGCAAGAGAACTTCATTGCCTTCCCTGTCATATTTTATTAGGACAACAATGTACCATAGGAAAACCTTCTCTACAACAATGTACTTATTCCCTGTGACATAAACACATGTAAAAGAAATAGACCTATTGAACTACATGCAGATGAACATATTTTCCGTATCATGCAGACAAACATATTTTCCACACTGCCGTATTAACACTGCCGTACACATGAGCACTTATCAGTATCAACAATGGTTGAAAATATTTTGACTAAGCTCTTATGTTTAGTGGAGTGCTGTAGAGTTGAAATAGATTTGCTCAACATTTAAGTTCCAACACATACCTTGGGCTCGCCATCTTCAAAGAAAGCACAGACCGCATTTCTCTTGAAGAAGAAAGAGTAGCCAACAGTCTTGCAAATGCTTCAAAAGTGGAAGCTTCCGGAGGTACATCCAAGCCTAAAGAATTATAACAATATGCTGTTATGCATGCTACACTTTTCTTGAGTAGCGATATCCCTTTCTGTAGGTCCTTGTGGGTCTCAAGAGAATGGGGAGAAGCAGATGAATAATTAAAACTACTGCTTCCAGCATCGAGAGAAGGTTTTCTTTCAGACTCCACCGAAGCAACACCAAAAGTACTGGAGCTTCTATCAGACCAAGAAGTATCCCCACCAGCAGAGCAGAAATTCTGACGTGGTATAAAAAGCGGATATTCTTTACTGCAAAAAAACATAAAATCTGTAACATAATAACAAGCTAACAAATTATTTTTCAGGGCAGATTTTTCATATTAAAATAGAACCTTTGTGAAGATGGACGTGCATCCCAATAGGAATCCCGCTGCCATATACGGGAACAAGAGCCCTGAAACATCAGGTTCACAGCAATGATTTAAACTCTCTACCTATTAAATGTTCAGTAATTCCCAGCAATATATTTACTAAGGGTGGGATTATGATGCAGCATCAATGTTAGCTATTTGCCCTCAAATTAGAAATCAGAAATATAACATATATTTGCCTTTCCTGGAAAACCTAAATTTATATAAACAAATATAACCAATAGCCTAGAAATATAATTGTTCTTTTAACAGATAGAATTGAATATTTTACATTTCAGTTTGGTGTAACCTTTAGTTTCCTTGCTTATAAGATCACAACTTTATGTTACCCAGATTGAGAATCTTATTGCAAAGTCTAGCAAAATTAAGACTTCAATGTGTCAGTTCCTTGAGTTTCAGAAAAGGATTGATGGCTTACCGCAAAACCTGAATTATGCAATGCAGGAGCAGCCAAGCTTGGAATGACAAGGTTTAACAGTTGGACCATATATCTGTAACAAAGACATAAATGATCAGTTAGTATAGATCTAAACAGGACAAGAAAAACATCATAAAGATGCTCAAGTAAAAAAAAAAAAACTAAGGAAGCCAGATAAAACAGAGAAATGGAAAATGGCATGGAGAAAATTTTGGGATTGAAACTTCATGTCCTTTGGGCTGCTTGAAGTTTGAAATGAATAAAAACTTGAACTTCCTGGTGTTTAAATTGATGATCGCCTAAATAAGCCAAAATATGTTTCATGTTAAATGTAGTTAACCTGTTTCCATTTAGGTTGTTTAGTTGAGATGGAGGTGCAGTGTGCAGTCCAACTCATTTTACTGGCTGTAAATTGTGGTTCTAGGCACCTATAATGGGTATTTATAGTTAATTAAAACATCACTGAATGTTTGGTCAAGTAGGCTTGATATCTGTTAAGTTGAAATATTTACTTCCATGACTTTGCCAATTCATGAAAGATAAGATGGACACAAACACACGTCAAGGACATGACAATTTTAAGGGAAATAGCACACATAAGATGATGACAGGAGAATGTGTATAACTATATATAGGTAAAAAGAACACAAACCAATTCAAGGACATGACAACTCCAAAGGAAATAGCACGCATAACATAATGACATGACACCAAAGAATGTGTATAACTACATATACATACACATCATACGTATATAGGGGGTACCTTATATAAGCTACCACGTCATTTAACAAAATGAGACACCAAGAGATAGGAGTAATTGAGATCCACATGCTCCAATGTGACTATCAGGGTGGGCATCACCACTAGTCTCTCTTTGTAGCTTATTTAGAAAAATGAGTTTCCACCGCATACCACTATTTCCCACCTACTATAGGCGGCAACCCATTTTCTAAATGAGCTACCACGAGATGGGTGTGTAGTGAAATCCACATTGCTAGTCACATTGGACGGTGGGCCTCACAACCCTTTATCTCTTAGTAACTCATTTAGCAAAATGAGCCGCCAGCCCATAACCATTAATCCTATATATGTATGTAACTGTATATGTATATTTACATGCTAAATAAGCCACCAAAAGATAGACCAGTAGTGAGACTCATGGACCATGCCACTTCTATCTTTTAATAGCTCATTTTGTTAAATGAGGTGGAAATTCATATCCAGTTATCTCCATAAGTGCACACATACACAAAATATGTGCGCACGTGTACATTTTCACATACGATATACATAAATACGTCCATGCTATCAAGAATGTAAACAAGAGTTTCTGATAATATAAAACATACAATGATTTATGCATATTAAACTGTTGTCCTTCGTCACATCTTCATGATTTTGCGAAAGAAATAGGCCTTCATTTTTATTTTTCACAAATGCTCATCCCTATGCACGCACACACATGCATACATGGTTTGATGGTTATGAGCTGATGACTCGACCAAGAGAAAGCAATTGTGAGATCCACGCCTTTCCATGTGACACGCCTTTCCATGTGACACGCTCTTGATAGGCCTCACCACAAGACTATGAGTATGTTTGGGAACTGGTCAACGTGGCTTATAAGCCATTTTTTGGGCTTATAAGCCACTGAAATATCCTTGGCAACCGGCTTACATAGGCTTATAAGCCGAAAAAAAGTTGCCCTAGCCTAGCTTATTTTTATGGTGGCTTATAAGCTTGTTTGTTTAACCAAGTAAATGACCAACTTACCCCTCAACATTTAAGATAGTTATAAAACCTATCATTTTTATCATTTTAACAATAATGATGGATTATTATCCACCTATTTGTCAAACACTCTCTTATTGAATGCAGCTTATAATCCATTTATTTCACCAAACACTTCGGCTTATAATCTACTTGGCTTATTATTCATTTGTGGATTATAAGCCAAGTTCCGAAATATGCTTTATATCTTGGTAGCTCATTTAACAAAATGAGCCCCCACCTCATACACATTTTTTCAATATATATGAACTTATTATCATAGGTATATATAATTTACTACTTTGATAGTCTTTTCCTACTAAAGTAAAGTCTTCGAAATGTATATATGAAAGTAAATAGATATCTCAAACACATGATGTAAATAAAGAAGCATATAAGAAACACAGGTACGAGTCCACAACATATTCAAGGAAGTTGCGTAGTCCGAAACAGATGTTGGCATGTAAACATGCATATGGATTCATAATAAAAACATCCATGCTACATGGTATGAAACCAAAAGATGTCATTTAAATGAAGTTTAACTTTCTCGTCTACTTCCTTTTTTACTTCCACTGAATAGCATTGTGCAGGTTTTAATATGGCTACTGACAGCATGAACTTATTCTCAAAGGTTCTCTCTTTCCAATTCTACCTTCATCATAAAGATAAAAAAAATTGCAGTTCCCATCCTATGCTCCTATATAACAAGGCCTAAAATTCATGTTCATAAGTAATTATCTTTTCAGCATACTCTTAAACTAATATTACCATATCAGCTCCATAGCAACGCCAATAGTTTCTCCGCAGGTTACGAGGACAAATTGCAGTTTGCGTGTCATAAATTGTATAAACACAAAGGTAAAGTCCCAATTCACACGATCCTAAAAATAATGACATAAGTCACAGTTTTAAAAATGGGATGACCAGAGAGATGCTTTGGGTCTAAAAGATTCATTTATGGAAGCATAAGTTTATTTGCAGAAAACATTAGTATGTTGTTGAATTGTGAAAAAAACCACAACAGATATTTTATTCAAGAATGTCACAGCCTGCATGATATTGATCATAGACTCCAAAGTAAAAAAAAAAAAAAACAAGAGATAACCCTAGAGAGGCTGCAAGCTCTTCAGAGGGAACTGAATGTGGATCAAGTCCTCTAGGCAAACGTGCATTGCATATTTGATCATATGAAGCACCTGAAGCATCCTTTTTCTCCCCATTTGAATTCACCTGGCACATTGAAGAGTCAAGCATCAGCAAACGCAAGTTAAATGTAAGCTGTATGAGAAAGTATTGGAAACATCTGCGGAAACCACATGATTTCAGTAGTAAGCGTATCCAATCATAACAAATCAATATAACAGAAGTGACCTTGAAATACATAAACAACCTTGGTTATAAGATGGGGAAAAAACCATTGCCCAGGGGGTTCCTCTCCCTAGACTAGAGTCACTTACACCACCTAGATCCACCTGGACAGCTGCAAGCCCCTCGAATGCTGGAGCTCTTAAATGAGCTCCTGCTTGTTTACATCATTCGGAAAGATAAAGATGCCAAACTATGTTTTTCAATCCTATAAGGCTGCAACCTATGTTAAAAAGGAGGTAAGGGGGAGGGTACTAGACATGGCAAATTTGTAAAATGCTGGTAGGGTAACACATCTATACATATTGAAAATTTGAAACTAATAATTTATATGAGAAGTGGATATAAAATGTAAGACATATGTCCAAGAAGTGTATGACGAGTGTTTTAAACTAAAATAATATTATATATTTGAGTACAAGTCTAAATAAATGTATGCATATATTCAAGGGGTGCCCAAGGATGTCAAAGTCAGGTACGGGTTCAGGAAGTGTCAGACACTGGTATGAGAGCCAAAGTGTCCGGGTAACTTAGGTTATACCTATGATTTATCATGACAGTAGACTAAGATTTAACAATGCCTTATTAGTGAATTTTTTGTGAGCTGCATGCAGGTGTTAATTTACACTGTGCTACTCTCTTTAGTATTATTACCAAATACCAAGACCACATTCAGTGTCAGTGAATTCTGAGTAAAGCAATGCTTAAAACTCCACTCATTAATCAATGCCTAAATACCAAAGTTACAACTATACATGAATAGAGAGCTGCAAAATAAATAGTTATAAATGTCAAGTTGCACAAAATAAATTTTTTGACGTATTACAAAGTTCACAATCCACAATGATGACAATAATCCAAATATTTCTAAGATATATGTACCAAATCCTACAGATTTTGCTTCCTTCTCGAATAAAAATCCATTAGAATGTTATATGAAATCGTGATTCATTTGTGGCCACCTGAAGCATCAGTCAGAAAGTGACAAACTATACATTTTTTTAAATTCCCATGTGTTTTAAGTGACTTAGATCCCAAGTTACAGCATTGCGACGTATTCCCCATCCTGTAGACCAAAAACCTTATTCACACATAATCCTCCCAGCAGCATTATAACAACTTATCCAATTTCATGAACATCCACCATGAGGAATATCAAAAGACATGGAAAGAATGGTTCGGTATTCTAGACTCATTTCGAGTATTGCCAAGTGCTCCAACTCCCTTGGTGAAAACTAATCTAGACTGTTACAGTTCTACAGGTCAGTTTCAAAAGTCATTCCTCATGCACATTCCATTGGTTCATGACACGGAACTTAACTTTGTATCTGATAAAAAGTACTGGTGTCAGAAATCTTACCCGGCGCATTGGGAACAATTTACATATCTGTTTTATAATCACTGACTGTTTATGAAGAAGCTCAGAGGTGATTGCCATCTGCAATAGACATGCCAGCACGTGAAACTTCAATTAAGGGGAAAAAGAACAAAACAAAATAGAGACTTCGTCAACAGATAATGGTAATAAATAAAGTAGAAGTTATGTAAACCACTTTATTTACATCCGTACAAGGAAAAAGAAATGTCTCATTTAACCTCTCCATGATAATAGACAAACTAAAATAGCATATTACAAACCTCATAATTCCTAACAATAACTTAGTGTGGATTGTTTATCGATTCCTCTATGAAACTTTCACATGCTATAGCCTAAAGCTGTCTAATAAAACTGTGTGTATACAAAACGAATGCCATTGATGAATATATGACATGAAAGCTGACTAATCAGTCTGGCTCACATCTACAACTAAGTCTTATGGCTAAAGTTCTATGTTCTTCTGTCATATTATCCCGAAATTCCTTCTCATTACATTAGACCCCTGAACCTTCATATTTCTAATTTGCAGCCCAAAATCTATTAAGTAGTTTTAAATATTATAACACTCTACAACTAGATTTTTTTTCTCCAAATTAGATCCTAACCTCTTTCTTAACATTTTTAAACTCCCAAAAAAAAACAAGTAAATGAAAATCTCATGTTTCTTAATAAAAACCCACAATCTGTTAATTCTAAGAGTTAGTCATACTAGGGTAAAAATTAGGGGCGACATCTAACGAGGGGGTGTTAATTAAAACAACCACATAACGATAGTGGCTTAAAAGTATGCCAAAGCTTTCATCTCAGACAGTCAAAAGCGAAAAATCACAAAGGTCATTCTAGCTAGCTGAAAAAGAAAAATTAAATAGGAATACACCAACCAAAATCAGCAAGTAGTACGAAAGCTAAACAATTATATATGGACAAAAGATCACTTACATGCCCTAAGTTCTGGGTGCAATTGAGATTTCGATAGAACTTCTCTATCAAATCTGCACGATTTTTTGCTATCTGAAAAGAAAGGAGAAAAACTCAACCAGAGAATGACGTGCATCTAGATTCCGAGCATATTCTCTAACATGAATGGAACTATAACTAGTTACTAAGTAGGATGGTAAACCATAATTCTGAAAGCCAATACCATGGCAAAAGCTGCCTCCAAAGCCTCGTGTCTGACTTTCAAATTATTTGATACAGCTGCGGCCTTAGCTTTATCTGTACAAGCCAAAAACTAACCACATTTATACAAAACTAAATGATCTTATTTGATAAACCCTATTATCAAACATCCATTACCTATAAAAGAGACCAACCTTGTGAGAGTTGCTTCTGCAAACTATATAGCCTCTCTTTCAACTTCGCAATCTTCTCATTTTGTGACATTCTCCAATTAAGTTGATCATCCATTTTTTTCTACCCCATAAACATTACAAGATAAGGACAACTTACAAAACATTCAAAATTACTCAAAGATGATGATAGCTCAGAAAATTTCAAACTTTGCAATGGTCTATTTTTTCCTTACAATAAAAAAGGACTGACCTTGGCTTCAAGCTTTGCTTCCAGCTTCCGGTTAAGGAAATTCCGAGTTCTCTGCAAAGTCTTCATCGAGGCATTGTACTCGTTTAACCTACAAATTTAAAAGAAAAATACAACAATAATAGCAATAATAATAATAATAATAATCTGTAACCCTAAAAAATCAAGCCAGAACAAAATCCGACCGAAATAATGATAAATTGTGGATTAGGGTTGGATTGGGGATTTTACTTGTAATTGACGCAGGACGCGCAGATCGAAGCGAGATTCGAATTCTCGCAGAACGCGCAGCTGATGTTGGTCGATCTCCTCGCCATTAGATTAGAGATTGGCGAAGAATTAGGGTTCGCGTAGAGAGAGAGAGAGAGGGTGATTGGTTAATTTTTTTTTCTTCAAAATAATTTAATTTGATTTGTAGGGTTTTGAATTGGGGAAAAGAGTCGTGAAGTGGAAATTGCAAGGGACTCAGGAGAGGCTTCGGACTCTACGTAGGCGCGGGTTGGGTTTATAGTTACGCCTTCTAGCACGTGCAAAGGCCGTGTAAGGATACAATGCTAGATGGCAGGGGGGGAATACTCACCAAAAGTTCTTTTTTTTTAGAATAATTAATAGGTATGAACTCGCGGTTCTATTAGGTTTTGAAATTCTTTTGACTAGCGTGCACCCGTGCAAAAGCACGACATCTATTTTTGTATTTCTGCTACAGTAATTTTATATTTAAATATAGTTTTTAGTGCTACAGTAATGTTTTTAAACGCTACGCTTCCAGACTGTGCTACAGTAGTAATACTACAGTAATTTACGTAGCATGAATAGTAGAGCAGGGATCCTCCTATTTGTGCTACAATAACAAATGCTACAGCAAATTACTTTGTAGCATGAATATTGAATCTTGAATCCTCCCATTTTTATAGAGGAATAGATTGAGTTCGAGTTTAATATTTCAAGTCTTGTTGATCTAATTGATCGTTTTCGATTTAATTAATTCTTTGAAATCTACGGCTTTCCCTTTGTTTTATTTCAAAACTTAATAGCATTATTGCCATACTTTTTAGTTATTTCTGTTGATTCATGACTCCTGTGATTTTCTAACATACTGATTTAAGACACAACGAAAGTATTAATGATGTTCCTCATTTTTGTCCATTTTCGCCATCAAAGTCGAAAAAGTTTACAAGCTGTAAAAGAGGAAGTTTTGCATTTCATCTTTGCAACTGCCTGCTTTAAAAATAAAAAATAGAAATCTCTTTCTTCTATGCCCTTTGATCGTTACTCTCTATGTATTTATTTAGGAAAAACAGTAAGACATAGCCCCTCGCTTACCATTAAAAGGTCTTAAGGAAACATACCCAAAGCGTTACCAATATATCTATATCTATATTAATATAAAAAGAGGATTGAGTTGCTAAAAATTTTACTTTTTTTTGTCCTCTCAAATTTTGATAAATTCTAACTATGTCATTATCTCTACTTAATCTTTCATTAAATAAAAAATATAACCTATTATTAGTTATGCACCTTCTCACTTTCCTAAATAATTATAATTATCAATTATACTATAACTATTAATTGTTTGAATAAAATAATTTATAAAAATAAAGTATACACAATTATTAATAGTAACCAATTAAATTATAATAATTATTATTTATGAATCATAATAAAATAATTAAAATAAATCAAATAAATTAAATTAATTAATTAATATATTTTTATAGTATCTTCTCAAATATTATTACATGATACTGAATAATCTATATTTGATAATGATTGAAAACTAACCTTTACAAAAAAATTTATTTATATTAACAATAGTACTATTAATTATTAATGATAGTATAATAAAACTTTATAAATATTTATAGTACTAAATTATTTAAGGTTATAATTAAACAATTAAATTTGATAAATATTTTATAGTATATAGACAGTATAATTATTTTAATAATATTACTTGAACTAATTATAATATTAAATAAGATAAATTATAGTATCATGAACTTTCAACATTTTACAGTAAATAGACCCTATGAACTTCTGAAATCACTCCCTAATAACTTTTGTAGAAAGCCCCCAATATCTTTTAGATAAGTTACACCAAAGCCCCAACAACTCTCAAAATACCTTTTTATGCCATTTTCTAATTCTAATTTATAGGGGTCATTTAGTAATTTGCAAAATTTTAAAAATTATTGGGGGTCTTTTTTGAAGCAGAAAATCCATGAGGGGTTTAGTGTAATTTTGAAAGTCCATGCGGGCTGAAAATTCATAAGGGTTTAGTATAATTTACCCTATTAAATAATTATAATGAGAAGTAACTATTGCAATATGTTACGGGTATCAAATGTATCTATTTTAGGTAACATCAAGAAAAACTAGCAAGGTTTATGCAACTTAGTTAATTTAGAGTTGTGTCAATAACTTTCAATTTGAAGGGACATATTAAAGAGAACTTAGAGAATTGATATTTTTATTTAAGAACAATTTTAGACTTGGGCACGTAATTTAAAAAAGGTTAACATTGGGCGATTATTATAAGAAAAATAATCAATTACAATAACTATACAATAATAATTAATTCGTACATTTCTTTTTAAGCAATCTTATTATACAATTTTTATTTATTAACTCATGGTTTTACTATTCGAATAAAAAATTCAAAACTTAAAACATGTACGTTCACGTGCAAAGCAAGGGGGAGGGAGAAAGAAAAGCTAATTCAAACACTAAACTCACAAGATCACCTTATTGCCGTGAAGATTTACCATAACTCTTGTCAACATTATTTAGAATGCTTCTGCTCTCATCACTGCCATTTCAGTGAAAAAGATCTTGAAGTCAACCGAATGAGAAAACTATCAAATTTCCCTTGTTGTCTAATTTATCTTGACGCGCTCTAGGCCCCCAGCTCCAGCTGCAGTCGATATCAACTTAAAACCGAGACAACAACTTCCCTTCCATCCAAACGATTTATGTCAATATGGTATCCTCGACTCTTGGCTCCGACCAATGCCACACCAAATTAGTATGCTACCCTGAGCGGCCTGAGCAGTGTTGTAAATATTTCCCCCCCCCTTTCCCTTCCAATGCCTTTTCTTAAAAGCTCCATGTAGATAAACATTTCAAATGCTGCCTGTATTATTATTTTTAAGTTTGGAATTTAAACATGACTTGAAACAGTTAACATAGAACTTTTTTTTTTATTATGAAATGTGGAACATTATCAGAACTTTTCTTAGATAAAAAGGTATATGATAAACATTCGTTAAGTTCGAGATAAATTTTACATCCTATAAAGATCATAAATTTAGTAAAAATATAAAAAGAAGATAATACGTACCTTTCCTATTTTGCACTATTCCGATTTTGTTCAATTTAAAAATTAAAGAAAATCTATTATCCGGAGCAAAACTCCGAGAAATATATGTGCATATTAACTTAGAATTTACCTTATAAAAGAAGATAGTTTAGAAATCTAGCAGGATAACTTACTCAATTAAAATTGTTAAGATAGTTTATTCGGTTCTAGAAAATCTAATAAACCCAATAACAAGGTGTTCTTAGCCTTTATTTCCTCCTTAGAAAAACCTATATATACTACACATCATAACGTTGATGATCATGGATTTATCTTTTGTTGTAATAATTTTTTTGTTACAAGAAGAAGACGGCTTCAAAAAGAAACAGAGAATCACCAACAAGAATAATATACATGTATTTATCTTTTGTTGTAATAATTTTTTTCTGATAATTATGGATTAATTAAAGTTCAATAAAATTTATGTGTACAGTCCAAAATAGGAGCTGAAATTGGTAGCCTTGCTTTCGTATACCACTTGACTTTGTGCCCAGTGGCGGATCTACAACCTCTCGTGTGGTGGTTCGAAATAAACACTATTTTTTTTCTCAAATACTATACTAATGGAGGCTTAAATAACAATAGACAAATAGTAGTAAAGAGAAGAAGAATTTTTTTTAAAGAAGCAAAAATAAGGAGAATAGGAGAAAAGTAGAAATATAAAGATAATTCTTTGGCTCATCTTCATCCAAAATAGAATTCACAAATGAATAAATTGAAAGAAAAAGAAAGAAACATAAAATGGAGAACTTGGTTTGTTAAAATATAAAGCTTCAAAGAGGTTTCGAACCTATGACCTCTCTAAACGTAACCAACTCTTAAACCACTAGGCTGTAAATTAGTCTTGTTTACAAACTGATATGTATAGTATATGTACAATATTTGAAGAATGAGGTGGTTCAAGTGAACCATCTTGAACAAGCATGGATCCGCCCCTGTTTGTGCCGGTCATACTATCCAAACTCCCTGCAAAATTCGTTGCTAGATTTTGCTGCGTCCGCAAGCAATGACTTCTCTTAACCTAGTATATCCGTTTCTTGAAATTACAACATGAAAGATCTTCAAGCTACATGGTTATCAATAAATTAACATCCTTAATTAAGTTGCAAAAATTAAAATAATATAATTCAGTATCGGTAATAAGGAAAAAATGTATGGAGTGTTCTTACTCCCCTTAATCATGGGAAATTAAGATCATTTTGAGCTATCGAATTTTGTGGATGGTTTGACCGTGCTTATGCCCGTTATCCTGAATCTGATATATACTTGCTAAATCCTATTAATTGGGAACTTCGGAAACTCCTGAAGAATAGTAATCGTCAGGAAAACTTTCCATCTGCAAGTTCTCATACACTACGGGGTGTGGAGGTGATTAATATGTGAGTATAGTCTCACATCGGATAAGATAAGAATGAGTGATACGTTTAAATAGGAGTTTGGGTCAATACTTGATAGTTATAGCTCTTGGGTTAAAATTGATTCCTAACTTCTGTTTAAGGCCCTATCAGAGCTAAGGTCATGGTCCAAATAATTTACTCAAATAATTTAGTTAGGAGTGATATAATCTAGTTAGCCACCGTAAGTGAAGTGGTGGAAGTTCCTACAGATGTTTGATAGCTATGTTTGCTGAATCCACATATGCAAGTTCTCATACACTACTGACAGTGGACAATGGAGGTGCCTTGGTGAAGCCCCTTAATTTTCAACCTTGCTACAATCCTAATGAAGTTCTTCTTCATGGAGCCCTCCACGGCTCCACTGGATTGGATATGCAAAAAGAAATAATTTTGAACCAGAAAACATGTGTGCATTCAGATTCAACATCAATGATGAGAAGTTTGAATCAGCAATATCGATCCCCGGCCTGTAGAATTGGCAGAGATCAGGTTCCAAGCTCAGGATTCAGGTTGTCAGGGTGGCGGTCGACCGACCCGGTCGACCGCGTTCGTGCACAGGAGTTTCTGGGCATCAGGATTGGTGGCGGTCGACCGACGCGGTCGACCGAAGATGGTAGCGGTCGACCGACGCGGTCGACCGCCGTACTCTCTGGACCTTTTGGGCTTGCTGCTGGATGGAGGGCGGTTGACCGACCCGGTCGACCGTGATGGATC